CTTTGAAAAAGGGAAGGAGGAGGATCCGGGGAACTACAGGCCAGTCAGCCTCACCTCAGTCCCTGGAAACATCATGGAGCAGGTCCTCAAGGAATCAATTCTGAAGCACTTAGAGGAGAGGAAAGTGATCAGGAACAGTCAGCATGGATTCACCAAGGGCAAGTCATGCCTGACCAACCTGATTGCCTTCTCTGACGAGATAACTGGCTCTGTGGATGAGGGGAAAGCAGTGGATGTGTTATTCCTTGACTTTAGCAAAGCTTTTGATACGGTCTCCCACAGTATTCTTGCCAGCAAGTTAAAGAAGTATGGATTGGATGAATGGACTATAAGGTGGATAGAAAGCTGGCTAGATCGTCGGGCTCAGCAGGTAGTGATCAATGGCTCCATGTCTAGTTGGCAGCCGGTTTCAAGCGGAGTGCCCCAAGGGTCGGTCCTGGGGCCGGTTTTGTTCAATATCTTCATTAATGATCTGGAGGATGGCGTGGACTGCACCCTCAGCAAGTTTGCAGATGACACTAAGCTGGGGGGAGAGGTAGATACTCTGGAGGGTAGGGATAGGGTTCAGAGTGACCTAGACAAATTGGAGGATTGGGCCAAAAGAAATCTGATGAGGCTCAACAAGGACAAGTGCAGAGTCCTGCACTTTGGAAGGAAGAATCCCATGCAGGGCCGGCTCCAGGGTTTTTGCCACCCCAAGCGGCCGGAAAAAAAAAAAAAAAAGCTGCGATCGCGATCAGCGGCACTTCGGCGGCAGCTCCACCGAGCCGCTTTCTTCTTCAGCGGCAGGCCCTTCCCTCCGAGAGGGACCGAGGGACCCGTTGCCGAATTGCCGCCAAAGAGCCCGACGGGCCGCCCCTTCCCCTTGGCTGCCCCAAGCACCTGCTTGCTGAGCTGGTGCCTGGAGCCGGCCCTGATCCCCTTCACTGTTACAGACTAGGGACCGAGTGGCTAGGCAGCAGTTCTGCAGAAAAGGACCTGGGGATTACAGTGGACGAGAAGCTGGATATGAGTCAGCAGTGTGCCCTCATTGCCAAGAAGGCTAACGGCATATTGGGCTGTATTAGTAGGAGCATTGCCAGCAGATTGAGGGACGTGATCATTCCCCTCTATTCGGCACTGGTGAGGCCACACCTGGAGTATTGGGTCCAGTTTTGGTCCCCCACTACAAAAGGGATCTGGATAAATTGGAGAGAGTCCAGTGGAGGGCAATGAAAATGATTAGGGGGCTGGAGCACATGACTTATGAGGAGAGGCTGAGGGAACTGGGATTGTTTAGTCTGCAGAAGAGAAGAATGAGGGGGGATTTGATAACTGCTTTCAACTACCTGAAAGGGGGTTCCAAAGGGGATGGATCTAGACTGTTCTCAGTGGTGGCAGATGACAGAACAAGGAGGAATGGTCTCAAGTTGCAGTGGGGGAGGTCTAGGTTGGATATTAGGAAACACTATTTCACTAGGAGGGCGGTGAAGCACTGGAATGGGTTCCCTAGGGAGGTGGTGGAATCTCCTTCCTTAGAGGTTTTTAAGGTCAGGCTTGACAAAGCCCTGGCTGGGATGATTTAGTTGGGGATTGGTCCTGCTTTGAGCAGGGGGTTGGACTAGATACCTCCTGAGGTCCCTTCCAACCCTGCTATTCTATGATTCTAGACACCCTGGGGGGCATGGAGCAAGGCATCGAGTTGGGGGTTGCTGGTTAAGACCAAGGCTGCCTTGCACTCCCCGCCCCCCGGGGTGAGCTGCAGGGGCCAGAAGGCTGGCGTGGGGATTGAGCCAGGGAGGCCCAGTCCGAGGGGCAGGGAACGCAGTATCCACACCAGGTGGCTGTCCCGGGGACCCCGATCGCATCTCGTCCTGTGCGCTCCAAGCGGGAGCCTGCCCAGCAGAGCAGTTGCCCCTTCCTGGGCTTCCCCGCCGCCCTCGCACCTTCCTCACCCGGACCTCAGCCTGGGAGGGGCTCTTTGCCCCCTTCCAGCTCTCGCTTCCCCTCGAGGTACCTGAGCAGCGGGGAGCGGGGGACAAGGGCTTGGGCAGGACTCCTGGGCTCTGGGGCCTACTCTGCTGCTCACTGACCTTGCGTGACCTGGGGGAAGGCGCCTCCCTGCTCCAGGCTCCAGTTTTCCCGTCTGTCCAAGGAGACTCACGATCCTGACCCGCCTTCACTGGACGCTGCAGGCTTCTTCTGAGGGCTCGCGCTCAGGCAGTGCGTGATGCGAACACCGATCCATGCCCCCAGCTTTCCAAAGGAAGGGGCCAGAGCCCCAGCCCTGGAGAGAAACACCAGTGGATAAGCCGGATTCCTCGCCCCACCTTAGCCCTGGTGGGCACAGTGGGTGGGACTCAGGAGTTGCAGTTCCAGGAGCCCGGGTGGCCCGGCCTGGTGTGAATTAGCACCGTGAGGATCGCGGGGGAGCTCTGCTCGGCCCCAGCCCCTCCCTCTCCTTCAGCTGGCGTTTACACATTTGAATTGGCTAATTGAATTGGAATGAATAATTAAACAATCTAAACATTTTGTCGGCCGCCCCCGGCCTTTCGACCCGCACCATCGTTTCGGCAGGAAGCTTTCGGCCTGACGGAAAATCTTCAGCTCGCCAAAGCCGACAGATTTTCGGCTTTCCATTGGAAATCACCAAAAAATCTGAATGGGGAATTTTGAAGCGAAAAAAAAAGATTTCCCCCTCCAAATTTCCCATGCAGAATAATCAGCGTTTTCCGAGCAGCCCAGGGTGGAGGTCGGCAGCGCCTCCTCTGCCAGCTCCATAGGTGAGTCCACTGCACAGGGAGTTCCCTGCCGGGGTCTCCACGGAGCAGAGACTCCAGCCCTGGGTTAGATCAGACCGATCACTGCTCCCAGGCTCCCAGGCAGGGTGATGCACCAAGCAGGGAGAGGTAGGGGAAGGGTAACCCAGTGGTCAGAGCTGTAGTCTGGGACTTGGAGATTCTGGGTCAGGTCCCCATTCTGCCACAGATTTCTTGTGTGACCTCTTGGGCAAGTCACATAATCTGGCCTCAGTTTCCCATCTGTGCCATGGGGGGTTGTGATGCAGAAAGCAAACATCCGCAAAGCTGCGTCCTCCTTAACCCTCTCCTTTGCCACCGGACACTGCTATGCTGTGCGCTCTCCTTGTACTCCTGTCAGTCTCCACCTCTTGTCTCATGTCTTATCCTTAACCTGAGACACAGACTGTCCTTTGATTCTGGGTTTGTACAGCGCCTTGCACAACAGGGCCCAGAACCATGGCTGGGCTGGGGCTCCTGCATCACACACAGCCTCCATGCTGGAGCGCCAGTGCCGTCAGAGCCGGACTTTTCTCTCGCCACTCGAACATGCCAGGCCATCTCCCCTGCTGCCGGCGAGCCAGTCGGGGGCAGGGTGAAAGGCCCTGCGCGGAATGGGAGAGCCACCTTGGCAGACATACGACGAGGAGCTACTCCAGCCTGCAAAGGGGGTCCCTTCCGGAGCAGCTCATTCGTACTGTGGGAGCCTGCCCTCCCTGCCCCTCTGAAAGGCGGCCCCCCGACCCACTGGAGGAAGGGGCCCCAGAATCATGCCCGCAGCGTGGTGGGAGGGCGGTGCCAAGGCTCTACCAGAGCTCTGCCCCCCAGGGCTTACAGTGGAAAGGCAACAGAAGGAGACAAGACAAGAGCGAACACAGAGCAGGGAGTGACTCCCAGAGCAAGGCAGGGCTCTCGCAGCGCTGGGCACGTTCCAGCCGCGTGGGGAGACGCAGGGGGCAGGAAGCAGCGGGGAGGGGTGGATCGAGGCAGGGCCGGAGATATGGAGAGCTTGGACGGGCAGGAGACCTGGCTTGAGGTGTGGTGCAGAAGCAGCGTGGGAGCAAGGGCAGCAGGCGAGGGGCTGCAGGGGGGCCTGCGGAAGGGGCACCAGACCAGGAATCAGGAGATCTTGGTTTTGCTCCCTTCTCTGCCACTGCCTCACTGTGAGAGCTGGGGGGAGTCTCTTGTCCTGGCCCTGCCTCGGTTTCCCCCCGCTGCAAAGTGGCAGTGATGATACCGACCGAGCTGTACAACAAGCTTTGCGCTCTGTGGAGGGAAGGGCTGTGGTGATGCTGTGTATGATTTGGGGCGGGGGGCAGGGCAGCAGACAGCCATGGGCTGGGCAGGCCAGACAGCAGAAGGTTGCAGCAGGAGAGAGGCCAGCCTAGGGTGAAAGGGGTGAGGCGTTGGGAGCTGGGGTGGGAGGGGCAGGAATGAAGGGAGTGAGAGAGGAGCCCCAGGCTGTGTGGGCGCTGGGCAGGGGGCTGGAGGGGTCCTCGGAGGGACGGCATAGAAAGAAGCAGAGACACTTTCAACTCCTGCGGATTGGACCCTCCGCGGGTGCCTGTGGGCCTGTGCTGGCCTCAGAATCCGCCCCCGGCAGGCGAACCCCTGCCCCCTCCCACTGTGGGTGATAGGCAGGGCTGCCCAGAGGATTCAGGGGGCCCGGGGCAAAGCAATTTCGGGGGCCCCTTCCATAAAAAAAAGTTGCAATACTATAGAATACTATATTCTCGTGGGGGCCCCTGTGGGGCGCAGGGCAAATTGCCCCACTTGCCCCCCCCTCTGGGCGGCCCTGGTGATGGGTACATTGTGGGGCGCCAGGTGTGCTTCCTAGTGGGGGGGCTGCCTGGCTCCTGGGGGGGAGGCTCTCTGAAGGTCGCCCCCATCAGCACTTCCCTGGGTCCAGGATGAGAGGCCTCAGGGCAGGCATCACCACATCCCAGCAGCTCCCAGCCCCACTGGTGCTAACCGGCCTCCCTGCTGGAGACCTCAGCAGAGGCCCAGGGCTGAGGGCGTTCTGGAGGCCGAACCAGGCCTTGTCACCGCCCGGGCTGGCCCGTCAGTCTGCAGGGAGACCCTGGCCCCCCCGTACCCCATCCTGCCTGTCACCTGGCCAGACCCCCTGCTTTCCCAGCCTCTGACTGACCCCCTGCCCTTCGCTTCCTCGCAGGCTTCCGGGAGAGCGCCTTCGCCTACGCCATCGCGGCCGCCGGGGTGGTGCACGCTGTCTCCAACGCCTGCGCCCTCGGCAAGCTGCAGGCCTGCGGCTGCGACCAGAAGCGCCGGGGGGACGAGGAAGCCTTCCGCATGAAGCTGCACCGGCTCCAGCTGGAGGCCATGAACCGGGGCAAAGGGATGGTGCACGGGGTCCGGCTGGAGCACATGCCGGCCGAGGCCCCAGGGCTCCAGGACTCCTGGGAGTGGGGGGGCTGCAGCCCCGATGTGGACTATGGGGAGAAGTTTTCCAAGGATTTCCTAGACTCCCGGGAAACCTACAGGGACATCCACTCCCGCATGAGGCTGCACAACAACCGTGTCGGCCGGCAGGTGAGTCCGTGCGCGCGGCAGACGGCTCTCCCCTGGGGGCGCCGTGGTGCACAGGGGGAGCGGAGGCAGGCGCTGCAGCACGAGAGGACATTCCCCCCTCTCGACGCCTCCGCGAGGGGCAGCCAGGGGAGTGGGGGGCCGGGGAAGCTGCTCACACCCACAGCTGCTTGAAATGTTGTTGTTGAACGAAAATTTTGACCGGAACCGGCCTTTCCACCACGCTGGCGTTTCTGCCAGAAAACCCCCGCTTTCCTTGGCATCTTTTGGAAGCATTTCCCCGCGTTTCGTTTCGGTGGGGAGAATCCCCCCTTTGGGTTTAAATCCCCCGCTCTCTTTCCCCACCTCGAATCGTTTGAAAAGTTTCAGAACGAAGCAGAGTCGGGATTTTTTTGGTTGGGTTCTGGGTTGTCTGACAGAGACAGGAACTGGGGTTTGGTTCGGAGCCCCTCAGCCGGACCAGGCTGGAAAACAGACCCTGGGATTCCGCCACCTTGCAAACATCTTCCTCTTGCCTGGAGTCGTGGCATCTGTGCTAGAGAGAACCGGTCTGTAACGTGGGGCTTTCTCCTTGCACGGTCACACGTCTGCATGGGGTGAGCCCCCGGAGGGCATCGCGCTGTCCATAACTCTTGGCACTTCCATTCCAAGCCCCTTAGGAACAAACTGCTGCTAGTACTCAGACTGCATTAGCCCCAGTCCGGGCCACATTGTGCTGGACGTTGTGCAGACGGATCAGGACGGTCCCCGCCCCAGACAGCTGCCAGGCCACACGTTGGACAGGACGCGATCAGTAGAGGGCAGCGGAGAAGCAGCAGCCCCGGCTCAGCACTTGCTGGGCCAAGGCGAGGTGGGAGGGATTGGCTGGCGCCGCATTAGAGGTGGGTTTTAAGGAGGGAGCTGAAGGTGGCCGTTTTACGAATGCTGACGGGACGTTTGTCCCATGTGTGGATGTTGGTGGGAAGGGATGTCCCAGCACCCACCACTGAGCGGCAGCCCCCTCAGGGGGCGACATGGCAGCTGGTTCACACTGCTCAGCAGTGTAGGATGGGAAGTGGAGCACGGGAGCTGCAGGGGGGGACTTTGGGGGCAGAATGGAATCGCCCCATCTGGAATTTGGCCAGGTTTTGTCGGAATGGCTTCAAGGGAGCCGCAGCCCTTGGGGGCCCGGGAGCTGTGTGCACACGTGGGCGGGTGTGCATGTGTGGGTGTGTCCATGCACACCAGAGGGGTCAGCAAAGCCAGGATGGGCCTGGCGCACACGGGAGGGTTGGACACGTCAGAGCCTCTGGGAGGCAAAGGCCCATCTGGTGCAGGAGGGAGTGGGGGGAAGGAGGAGGCTGCAGTCGGGGGGGGGGGGGGGGGGTCGCGGACCGGCTGCCTACTCACCTCCAGTTTGCACAATGTCACCTTGTGAAAGGCGCTAATTAGTGGCTCTCACTGCCTGGTACAAGTCGTTCAGAAGCAGCTTGAGAGTGGAGACTTCACAGAAGGTGGAGAGGGGAGAGAGCCGCCCTTCCTTGCCCCAGCGCGGCTCCCCACATGCGCCGTGCAGCCCCCCCGCCCCCCAGCACAGCCGTTGTGCCAGTGCAGGCAGAGATCCCCACCGTGCAGCCACGGGCTCCTTCACGCGGGCCGGCCGTAGGGAAAATAGCACCCTGGGCAAATTGCCCACGGGAC